CTTTGCTTGAGTAGCTAGTACAGAAGAATCACGTTCATACCAAAATCTTTTAACACAAATGCTCGTAATTTTTTTATCTTTTTGCATCCCTATTTTCTTGCGGAGATCAAACCACTTGCATTTGAATAAGAGAACTCGATTTTCCTCAACATACTCTAACTCAAGGATGTCAATTATAATACCATAAAAGTCAATCACCTCATTTTCATGATAGCCTGCAACAACTATACCGCAATTTTGACTTTTACGTAATTCATTGCGACATTGAATATGATACCTAACACCATTTAAAATACAACCAGTATGTGTTCTTCCACGCACATCAGGTCCCATTGCCAAAAGATATAATTTCTTGATAGATGTTGACTTTTCTTTAGTATATAACTGCATAATCTATGAGAAAAACTTGTTTCGTTCAATTAGTAAAGAAGAAAAAATAAATTAAACACAACAACATGATTATTATCTGAAAATCACTTACTTTTCTTTTGAACCATAAAGGAAATTGTTCTTTGTGCTTCTCATTTATATTCACAACAGCTTGGTTCAACAACTCTTCTTTATGCTCCCTGCATTTAATAAAAAAATACATAGAAATAATTAAAATAATAAAATGTCAACATAAATATATAAAATAGAAAAAGTACTTACTGAAGAAAAGGTTCTGCTTCTTCGCAATTATTCAACACATACCACCGAGCTATATCAAAATCTTTGTTTGGTATAACATCATATTTTCCATCTCTATATGGCCTAAATCTCTTTGAAAATATGTCTAGAACAAGTTCACCATCGTTGCTAAATCCATCATCATTCCGATCTTCACAATTAAATCTTGTCTCAATGTCAGTAAGATACATAGAGCAAAATGTCAAACACTCATCAATAATATACCCTTCTGCAATAGAACCTTCTGGCAGTGCCTTGTTTCGTACATAACGCTTAAGCTTGCCAAAAACCTCTCAATTTTGTACATCCAACGATATTGTACAGGTCCCCCATACATGGCCTCTCGTGGCAAATGCACAGCCAAATGTATCATAACATCAAAAAAAGCAGGTGGAAAGATCATCTCAAGCTTACATAATATAATAATTATATCCCTTTCAAGTTGTTCTAAGTCATCTCTTCTTAATGTCTTACAACATAATCGTTGAAAGAAATAGCCTAACTCAATTAATGCTAAAGAGACATCCTTATTTACAAATCCACAAAGAGCAATTGGCAACACTCGTTGTAACAAAACATGATAGTCATGACTTTTGAGTTTAGTGATCTTACCATCATCTACACTTACACACCCTGAGATATTTGCAGCATAACCATCAGGAAACTTAACTGATTTTAAAAATGCCCAAAATTTTTTTTTCTCTTTTTTTGACATACTATAACAAGTAGCTGGCATTTTATAACTAGAACCATCCTGTTGCAACCATAGTTCTTTTCTTATGTTCATATCCTTAAGATCTAGTCTTGCTTTATATGTGTCCTTAGTTTTTCCATCAATATCCAATAGTGTCCCCAAAATACTCTCACAAATATTTTTTTCTATGTGCATAACATCTAAATTATGCCGCAATTTCAAGCCCTTCCAGTATGGTAACTCAAATAAAATACTTCTCCTAACCCAATTCAACTCTTCAGGAAGACGTTTCTTTTTCTTATTAATTGAGTGTTTTCCTGCTCTATAAGTACTGAGTAAATCCAATTGTTGTAAGACATCATCTCCTGATAGCTCTTTTGGTTTTGATCTTTTTTCTTTCTTCCCATTAAATTTCTTGCTTCTTCTCCACGAGTGACTAGGTTCAAGATACCGACGGTGACCCACGTAACAAATTTTACTTCTTACCTTTTCTGAAGATGTATCCTTATTGCAAGTAGGACATGCCATGTATCCCTTAGTGCTCCATCCAGATAAATTACCTAATTCATATAAAAGATAATATATGTCAGTACTAGTTTAAAACCTAAACAATAACATAGAACCTTCAAAAAATAAGATTCTCTACCGCAATGAGTGGATCAATACCGAGATTATGCAATATATTTACCATTACTGTTTTACTATTATTACTATTCTTAGATATTAGTTTTGTTGTTGCTGACAATGAGGGAGCAACTTTTGCTAAGCATGAAATGCCTCTTTTAATATCAGATAGTTTGAATTTTGTTGGTAACTTAGCAAGTACTCGACTTGATTATAATGCTTCAAGCCACTGGTCTTGTAAGGATGCATATTATTATATATAAATAAATAAACCCTCTTTCAACAAAAAAAAAAAAAACAGTAATTTAAGAACTTACCATAAGCTGGAAAGTCATTTATAGTCCATAAAACAGCAGCACGCATCTTGAAGCACTTCCCAGTTGATGCATCAAATGTCTCTACACCATCACTCCATAACTCTTTTAGCTCATCAATCAAAGGACGCAAATAAACATCAATATCCTTTCCTGGTGCTTGAGGACCGGGAATAAGCAGTGACATCATCATAAATGGGTCCTTAAAGCATTTCCAAGGAGGAAGATTATAAGGAGCGAGAATAACAGGCCACATACTATACGATGTGCTCATGTTACCGAATGGGTTAAAACCATCAGTTGCAAGACCAAGTCTAATATTACGAGGTTCTTGTGCAAACCACAGATGATTTTTGTCAAACTCTTTCCATGCTTCAGAATCAGCAAGATGTCTTAACACATTTTCCTCATCAAGATGTTTTTCTGTGTGCCACCTCATGTCTACACTTGTTTTACTAGACATAAATAATCGTTGAAGTCTAGGCTTTAATGGAAAATACCGCAAGACTTTATGAGGAATCTTCTTATCTTTTCCATTATCAATTTTCCACCTCGAAATACCACAATGTGGGCACTCTTGTCTATTTTTATGTTCAGCCCAGTACAACACACAATCATTTTTGCAAGCATTAATCGAAATATATCCTAATCCCAAACCTTGTAACATGTTTTTAGCATCATAATATGACTTAGGAAGTGTCTCACTAGTAGGCAACGCCTCTTTTACTAACTCCAGTAACATATCAAACAATTTATTACTCCATTAATTGTATACTTTCAAGTGTAGCAACTTCACAAGAAACGAAAGCTTTGAGAATTTCTTACATTCCGGGTATAGTTCACATTTAGCTTCTTCCAGCAATTTGTCAAACCTTTTGGCTTCCTTCTCACTCATATTACCGCACACATTATTATCGGTTGTTGTCTCCTCCGAAAAATTGACAAATGATTTTCCACTAACCTCTTCTAACATAGTGTGAATTTCGTCATCACTGTCATGCTCTTCATTTTCATCTTCATTGTAAATCACTTCATCGTTATAACTCATTTGGGATTGTTCCCCATGGTATATCCATTGTACGTAACTTCCCATAATTCCCTTTATCAACAGGTGGTCATACACTACTTCTTGTGTCTGAAAAAATACATTTAAACAATCTTGACATGGGCATCGAACTTTAGAATTTCGATCAAAGTGAGACCGAACAAGTTGCATAAAAGATTGGACACCCTCAACATATCTTTTAGAGAACTTTACTTCATGCATCCAGCCTCTATCCATGATGAACTGCACAAACACATCACTTATCAGATAAATATCATAGAAGAAGCACATACAAGATTCTTTAAAATAAAATAACTACGAAAAAAAAACATTCCATCAATGATAGAATACTAGCAGAAATAAGCTTCTAGGTGTTTACCTGTTGATCTTGGAGAAATCTGTCTTTATGGGGAAGGATTAGCAGGAATAAAGTAAACATGAGCAATATGTTTTCATGTTAACATCTTTATTACCAATAAATTTAGATGGCAATACAACAAGGTGAACAATCTGAATCAGTAGGGAAAACAAGTGAGAGTCTAGAATAGTGTTGCATCATACTGTTATTGATGCGTTTTTCGGGAAACAATATTACAGACGCAAGAATGATTAATATTTCTGAATTATTGTTTTAGTTGTTTTAGTCGAACAGACTTTCTGAGTGGATTAGGATTCTTATTATTTTAGTTTTATAGGACTTTGTTATTTCTAATTTATTAGGACTCTTGCTATTGTAAACCTCTATTTAAGAGATTTGACGTTATTAGTAAAATAAGTTGGATTTTATCAAGTTTCAGAGATTCGGAACTTTCTCAAGCAAGTTCCCAGGTCTGCAATTCCATGAATGAATTGCGAATTTCAGCAATCATAGGCAAGTCAAGGAACAAGAACAGGGGCTTAGACCTGTCTATTGGACCTAACTTTTCGGTCGACTTGATCCAGAACTGGGTACCTTAACACATACCTTCTACATATAACTCTTGAAGTTTTCTACGTTGTTCTTGATAAATTTTGTATCTAGTGTTGCATAGAAGAATGATTCAAAAGGGTAACAAGCATCCGTACAGTTCTTTACTCAATCTAAACAACTAACAGAAGAGCAAGCTACTAGGAAAGTTGCTAATGTGTTAAGATTCGAGTTTCAACATTCCTTACTTAAGGATAAGGAAAATATTTAGTGGGGTGTACTCATACGATTTGAAATTTAATCAAAGTTTTGGCTTCTTAAGAAGTTGTACAGATGGCTATGAGGGTTATACAACTATTTTGGTTAGTCAAGGAGTTACAATTAGTTTATAACATCCGGAGCTTCAAATAGACGGCTATAGTTTCTAATAACTAGTTTGGCTGTTTCATAATTTTTCTAAGTGTAATTTTTTATTTTCAGTTCAGCCTTCTCACTAAGAAAGGCTATTTGTGTTCACATAATTTTTTATTTTCAGTTCAGCCTTCTCACTGAGAAAGGCTATTTGTGTTCACATTTATCTCATTTGGAGCTTCTCAATGAAAATATCTCTTGGTTATCTTAATTTAGTCTAGTTTAGTTCATAGTTAGAATTTCTTCTCTGATTCTCACATTGTATCATAAGAGAGATTACTAACAAGCACTTCTCTAATTTTCAAATTGTATCATAAACTAGATTAGTAATGCGTCATGGCTGGAACATTAGATGATTATCAAGATGGTGTTCATATTGTTGATCCAGCCATGATTGTATTGCCGAAACTCGATAAATCTGGACAGCAATAATGTGCAACTGAATCAGTGAAAAACAGTGTCGTTGCTGGTCCTAAAGAAGCTGATGAAGGTATGAAAAATGCAGCTAAGCATGTTATTTCTGTGAAGCAATTCTTTGATGAACAAGGAAATAACAACATTGCAGTATTTTAGTGATGAGTGGATTGTGGCCTCTCACAGAAAAATTGATGGTTCTAAGTCTCCAAACAACCAGTTGCACCATCAAAACGATGCACATGTTTGTTTGATGAAAGTAACTGTGTAGCTGAAGGTACATAGTTTAATGTGTTGCGAGATGAAAATTTTGGACGACAATTGATAGAGAATGAAGCTGGAGAAACGAATGTAGACCAGGTAGTTGGCAAAGATGCCCAGGAAAAATGCACTTCCTCAAATATTTCTCCATATGTAACGATAAGCAAGGAATAAATTACTTCGGATCATTCTACACCATCTTTGATTGACGTGAGTAATTCTAAACAAATTTGGAATGAATCAAGTGTTGCTGAAGTGTGGAATTTTAAACAGCTCACAACAGAATGAAAAAGATTTGAAGATGCTACTATCGAGAAGGAGCAAAATCTGAATGAGAGGCAACTGGCAGCCGCTGAGGATAATGTTGAAAAAAACTGTTTTTCGGCACTTGTGGCTGCTATTTTTATTTTATTTTTGAAATAAAAAATCTCAAGGCTAGAAAATGTTCAAAGGTGCAATGACAAACAGACCAAGAAAACTAACAGAATTCAGAAAATCACAACTACATAAATAAGAAAGGCAGAAAAGCCATGAACACTAACTAGTCTATGATCAATTTGCAGGCTCATCAACTTCTAGGGTCTCAAGTTCAGTCGTCTCTTGCTCAGCGTTCTGCAACCCCTTCTCAGTCTTCTTTCCTTTCTTAGAATTATATTACACACTCATGAAGGTTCCAATGGCTCTGTACTTTCTTCTGCAGTGCTCGTACAGGCCTCCATCAAACATCCTCCAGAAGTTCTTCTCACTCAGCTCGGGGACAACGTATTGTGGCTGGAATCCATGGTTTTTAATCAACCAAGTCTCCAACCTACGGACTGCCTCTATACCATCAAAGACCTCACCCCTCAAAATAGGTCCAGGATCATAGTAGACACCAACATTGGAGTATATTGAATGTACATCATGGGGTATATTTCAAGAGGTTGAATTAACTTACTACTACAATTTATACCATCAAAGTAGTAATATTTTACATTTCAATGGCTAACAACGTTCAGCCTCGCAAACAAACACCAAGAAAGAAAACCCACACTTGCAACCTTTGCTTTATTATTTGTTGCTGAAAGTTTAGACCCATTACCTGTCCTGCCTCATTAAATTATTTAATAGATTGAGTTTCATCCCGCCCCCACCCTACCCTATTTTCATCCCTACTTACGGCAAATCACTTCATAAATCAAAACTCAGTATTCTATTGAATATAGAGGAAAATTACAACAAAGTTTAAGGAGAGAACTAAATTGAAGTAAACGAGAGAGTTACCGGAGAGAATTGATGGAAATTGCTCGAAACTTTCTATTGCTTCCAAACAAGTGGAAGGAACTCACAAGAGAGGACAAAGATGCAGCACTAATTAGATGTCACGTAAGGATTCTGTACTCTAGTAAATTTATTACATGGTAGTGATTATACTAAGGCCTTTTCGGATACTTCTATTAGTCATCCATCTGTTTTTTTTGGGAAAAATCTTTGATTATATCTATCTCTGTTGATATCTAGTAGTAGTTCACCATTGATCTCTTTCTCTTTATTCTGTGAGATTCATATTTTCTTTTAACTTTAAAAGAATAAGAATCTTATTACCAATAGTTAATAAACTAGAAAACAAACAACTAGTACATCAGCTCAACTACTTGCTACTAAAACAACAACTAGGGGCATACATTCATCTCTTCAAGCTTCCTTCCTAAACTATTTCTCAGGGATCCTCTAAATAAACTAGAAAAAAAGAAAACTAGTACATCAGCTCAACTAATTGCTACGAAAACAACAACTAGGGGCATACAGATTGCTACTAAAACAAACAACTAGTACATCAACTCAACTAATTCCTAGTAAAACAACAACCAGGGGTATACATTCATCTCTTCAAGCTTCCTTCCTAAACTATTCCTCAGGGATCCTCTAAAGAAGATAGAAACTTGTGGATCAGTATTTTCAACATGAATGTAAGATTATGCTGCCAGGGACATTTTGTAAACTACTACAACAAACTTTTGCCTTTAGCTTGTTCCTACTCCAATTTTTCAGCCCATTTAAATGCTTTTCTAGGTACTCCTTGTTAGTGTAAAAGTTTACTACATATGGCTCTAGAGTACTCACATAATGAACTATAATTATTATTATCTTTTGATAAAGTAGGAGATTGTATAAATGATATCAAGAAGATGCTTGTAAATCAGTAGTTTCTATAGAAGATGGAAATTTGTGGATCGGTATTTTCAACCTGGATCACAAATTTATTCATCTTAATCGCAATATTTTAAGCTTATGCTGCCAAGGACATTCTGTAAACTACAGTAGCAGAGCTTTTGCCTTTAGCTTATGCCTACTGCAACTGTTCATCCCATTTAAATGCTTTTTAGGTACTCCTTGTAAGTGTAAAAGCTTACTCCATATGACTCTAGAATACTCACATATGAACTGTAATTATTATTATTTTTTGATAAAGTAAGAGATCATATAAATGATATCAAGAAGATGCTTGTGGATCAGTAGTTTCTAAAGAAGATAGAAACTTGTGGATCAATATTTTCAGCCTGGATCACAATTTTATACATCTCAATCAAAATATTGTAAGCTTATGCGGCCAAGGACATTCTGTAAACTAAAGCAGTAGAGCTTTTGCCTTTAGCTTGTGCCTACTCCAACTCTTCTGCCCATTTAAATGATTGTCTAGGTTCTCCTTGTTAGTGTAAAAGCTTACTCCATATGGCTCTAGAGTACTCACATATGAAATATAATTATTATTACTTTTTGATAAACTAAGAGATTGTATAAATGATATCAAGAAGATGCAACTTAGATAGTTAAAAAACAATGAGATTGAAGTTAATTACGATGCTAGGAGATGTGATGATTTTTATTTTAATATAACAGGGATTTTGATCATTTTTTTGTGTCTTCAAAACTTATTTGATTTTTTAGGAGAGGTTTGAGATTAATTTGGATGAGCATTACGTGAAAGATAGTTGCAAGGATATCCTGAAAAATAGAAGCAGGCAGTGGCGTTACAAGTTAAAACAACTATTTGAAAGTGCACACTCCGAGGAAGAAGCTCGTAAAATTGAAGTGCCAGAGTTGACCCCCGAAAATTGGAATAGGCTTTGTGACATGTGGATCAATCCACATCATAAGGTAATTTAGATTCATTTTATTGTCTTTGTTATTAAAGTTACAATATTTCTATTTTTTTTTGTAGAAACGATTCGACATAAACAAGGTCAATAGAACTAAGCTTAAATCTAATCATTTCATGGGCTCAAAAGAGTTTGTAGCGGCTCGTGCTGAAATGGTAAGTTATACCCTTTTTATTCTTTTAACTAATAAAAATTTAGTACTATTTCAGTTATTTTCTTATTATATAGGGTGGGACTAAACCTGAACGAGTAGAGCCTGATAGAATCGAGTTTTACAAGCATACTCATTACACGAGTGAAAAAGGATGGTCTTCTCTACAGGCTGAGACTCATTATGTAAGAAAATTAATATTTATACTTCATATACACACTGCATTTGACTGATTAATATTCTTCTGAAGTTGTTCCTTTTCCTTTAAATAGTATTCATATTTTTATGTAGAGCAACATGATTGATTTGAAAGATATATATACTTCGGGAGAGTCTTCCAGGACTATTGATGAAATTGTGGATACTGTTCTTGGTACAAAGTCGGGATATATAAAAGGCCTTGGTTATGGTCCAAAACCTAATACTACAAGAGCTACACAAAGGAGAACGGCAGAGTTAGAAGACTCTCTCAAAAAGGCGAAACAAGAAGCTGTTAGTGCCCAACATGACTTACAAAAACGATTAAATGCAGCTGAAACTGAGGTAGAAAACCAACAGTCGCAGATACTAGACCAGCAATCTCAGATTCAAGACCAATAGTCACAAATAAAAGCATTAAATTCTCAGTTGGACACTGTAGTAGCACGCCAAGAAGACATGTTTAGGAAGATACAACTCTTTGCTCGCTCATCGCCACCAAGGTTAGAAGTGATGCAAACTTATATGAGATTTTCTATTTGATTTTTTTTTAATAAATATATAAATATGTAACATTTAGTATCTAACTTTGCATATAATTTTTTATGATGCAGCGCTCCATCAGAAGGCTGACTTAAGGTATATTTCTATTTTTATTTTGCTAACTCAAACTTCATGTTTAATAAGTTGTAGTCTATACAAATTCATTATATCATGATGTACAAGTTAATACCTTACCTAAAACAGATCAATATTAATCATGCCCAATACTTTAAATTTCAGTTGCTTCTAATGTTACTGGAAAAAGTGTAGAAAATGATATAATCCATTTATAGAGGGAAGCATTGCTAGTAGCTAGAGATTAAGAGGAGATTTCCTTCTTATTACAAAATTTTGTAGCTTTTAAGACCATGTGAGTAGGATATGAACATTATAGAGTTACAATTGCTATCCTTATCAGTCTTTTACTCCTTGCTGCTAGTGTATCTGTTCATTGAGTGATGGTTTGGTATGCTTTTTCTTATTTTTTGATAGCAAAATTTGGTTATATGAGGCAACTAGTTTGATAGGTGTTCAAGAAAATGAAGATTGACATAAAAAGGGGGAATCTTAGTATGTATATGTTGTAGTAGCTATAAACAACTCATATTAGGACAACCAATTCCTTGAAACCAAATACTATAAGTGTCACGATAGTCCCTTATTTTCAAGCCCCCTTGCAACTTTGGTCTAACCATATTAGATCATTTAACTAGGAAAAACTTGTGTGCTTTACTGTTACCCTCCAAAGGAAGGTCCTGGAAATTGTTGTTAGAGTTCTTAGTAGTAAAAAAATCATGTTTAGACTTGGTTGTTACTTTTGAGATCTCTTATTATCCATGATAGTATTCATTAATCTCTTAATTAGAATGTTGTTATTGTTAAAGTTTATATTACTCCTTAGAGTTGTCTTGGAGGTGTGTTACTTTGTAAAGGTAAAGTTAATTAGTACATTACTAGATGATGTGGTAGTCAACATCTTGAGGAGAGTAGGAGATCAAAAGAAATATAATGTCTATCTTTTTTTTTGGTAACCATCTAAACATTACCATTGCTAAAACGAAAACATACACCTAAAGAGCCCTTGAGCACAACAACTGCATCTCAAGCCTCCAACAAGACACAAAACTAGTTACACTTTCAGCCTTTGCAGAAAAACACTACATCTGCAGGCTCTCTTTGATGAACTAAGTATGTCTATTCTATGTAAAATCTTCCTCTTAATTTGTGTGTGTATCTCAGCTGTTTGTATATGTACTCCTTTGAAAAAAATTCAGTTCTGCTCTCTCCGAGTATGGTAGATCATTATCCCCCAACTCGCAGCTATCACTTGTTTTTGAAACTGCTTCCATTTATTCCTTTTAATTTTCAGCATTACTTCCTTCACCTCCCCAGTTATATAGGCAAGCATGTCCATTGTTCAAAACCCCTGTTGACCTCAATGATCCATGGGCATTCACTGAAACAAGTGTTTGACTGTCTCCAGCTTCTGAGCATCACATAAACAACAATTAACTTCCTCCACTGAGATGTTCATCTTCATCAGCCTTTCCTTAGTGAGCAGTCTGTCTTCGACAGCTAACCATAGAATAAATCTATGTTTAGGTTGAGCCACTGCACTCCAAATGCATTCAGAAATATGTGAACTGTTGTGGTGTCCTCTAATATCAATATAGCTCCTTGTGATTGAGTATTCACCTCCCTTAGTCAACCTGTACCTATCTTGCATATACCAACGTCACATTTTTTCTTTCATGGTGTAAATCTTCCTCCAGTACTAGCTGCTATTTACAGAAGCTTTCTGGTTATGCATGATAGAAGGTGATTCTTTTTACTGTTGAATTACAAGTAGTTATAAGCAGATTTATTTAGTAACTTAACTGAGCAAGAGATTAACTAATGAGTTTAGTAGCTTAAATACTTCATATAGTTTCTAAAGAGGTTGGGTCTTAGTCTTAGACTAAAATAGGAAATTTTATTGAAGCAAATGCTTTGCAGGAACATATATAGGGCTGAGTAACTTGGTACAAAGAAGTGCAAAAAAATTTGATTGCTTATATCATAATAGAACTACTGTGCTTGGTAAGTAGGATAAACCATGAGGGCAAAGCCTCACTTGTACTAATTGTTAACTAAAACAAAATGAAGTCCATTTGGATAAACTAATGAATCAAAAGTAAACATCAGCCCCCACCCCACGAGCATAAATCCTATTATTATTATTATCACTTATTATAGTTTACAATCAATCATATTGGTCCTAGCAGAAAAGTAGTTGTCGTATCTGAAAATGAGACTGAATAGAACTCTTCCCAGATGGAAGAAATTGAATTGTAATACCAGGGACCATCTATCCAATAATTTTATAAAATTGCGCATTACAACATATGAAAGACAAATTGTGTTGTATATTTTACTTTTAAACATGGCATAAATACTTTAAATTAAATCTTAATTTTGTTTTATTTTCTTTTTTCACAGGTATAAAAGGGGAGAAATGAATCAAAATCGGTTGCAAGCTATGTGTCACCACATTATTGCTACTTTGGAAGGAACTTTTAATTATTTGTCTAAGTTTAGGAGTAATATTTAGTATATTTCAGTTAGATTTTCTTGTTATTGGACATATGTTACTTTTATTTAAGGAGTTTATAATGAGTTATTATCTCAATAGAATTTTCGTTGTTTTTAATTACATGATCATGGCTGAATTTGATTATTATCTAGCATGTTATATTGTTTAATTTTTAATTTATGCAACTCTAATTTAATAGATAATACCAATACAAAATAATTAAATGTCATTATTTATTTGTAATTAGTGACAAAATATTTTATCATCAAAAGAAATTTTTAGCAACGACTATATTAAACTTTTCAAGACAAATGTTTTTGTCACAAAATATATTAGTTCATTACAAGTTGACTAAATTTAGTGACAAAAAATGTATTGTCCTAGTACCTCTTTTTTATTGAATACGAATTATTTTTTTATGTTGTGACAATTGTAATTGTCACTAATCGTGATAATTTATAATGACAATATATATTGTCAGTAAAAATAATACTTTTAGTGAAAAAATGATAGATTTAACCACAAAATTATTAAGTTTTTTTATAACAATAAATTTGTCCCTAATTTATACATTTAAGGACAAAATATTTTTTGTATATAAAAAGTAGTCATTAGTGACGAAACTACATTTCTTCAACTAGGAAATACATATAACTTTAGAGACAATTAATGTCGTCACTAATTGAACTAAATAATTCGTGACGACATAATTTTGTCGATAGTAATAACATTTTTAGTGACAAAACATACTATTAACTACAAAAAAAAAAAATTATACTTTTTATGACAAATAAATTCGTCACAAATACTAATGCATTTGGAGACGATTTTTCTTTTTGTAGTTAATATAATACTTTTAGTGACGAAGCACTAAATCGTCTTTGTAAACTTTTAGCGACGCATGTTTAGTGATTACTAATTGACGAAATTTTTTTCGTCACACAAGATTTCAAGTGACGAAATTTGATTTATAAATGACGAAATTATTCGTCCCTGATAATCGAATTTGTTGTAGTGTGAAAGATTGCCCAAACACTTATTAGCATGGGTACATGAACACCAGATGAACTGCTGCTAATTTTGAAGGTAGCTCTAACTCATAAGCTACATTGCCAACTCTCTTGGATATCTTGTAATGACCAATGTACCCATGACACCCTTCATAGGTGAAACCTTCAAGTAGACCTAATCATCAACCTGAAATTCTAAGTCCCTTCTCCTAACATCTGTGTAGGATTTTTGACGACTTTGCGCTGTTTTCAGCCTTTCCTGAATAATTATCACCTTCTCCATGGCTTGATGAACAAAGTCTAGCCCTATCAACTCGGCTTCACTAACCTCAAACCAACCAATGGGAGATCTATACCTTCGTCCATAAAGAGCCTCATAAGGGGCCATTTGAATGCTGGAGTGATAACTATTATTGTAAGCAAACTCTATGAGAGGCAAGTGGTCATCCTAATTACCTTTGAAATCTATGATGCATGCCATCAATATATCCTCTAAGGTCTGAATTGTGCGCTCTGCTTGGCCATCAGTCTAAGGATGAAAAACAGTACTAAGGTTCACCTTGGAATCCAAACCTTTCTGGAAAGACTTCCAAAATTGAGAGGTGAATTATGCACCTCTATCTGGATGATAGACACAAGAACTCCATGAAAACTAACTATCTCTTGAATATACAATTTGACATAATCCTCAGTTGAATTTGTAGTCTTTACTGACAAGAAATGCTCTAATTTACTCATCTGCTCTACGATCACCCAAATCGAATCATGTTGCCTGCGAGATCGTGGTAAGCTATTAATGAAATCCATATTATAAGCCAGTAACGAAATCCATATTAATCATCCCCCACTTCCATTCCAAAAGAGCTATGTTCTGAGCCACACCATCGGGCCTTTGGTGCTCTACCTTGACTTGTTGGCAATTCAGGCACTTAGAAACGAACACTGCAATTCACCTCTTCAAACTACTCCACCAATAGACTTCTCTCTCAAGTCGTGATACATCTCTGTGGAACCGGGATGGATCGAGTATCTTGAACTATGAGCCTCTACCATGATCCTCACTTGGAGTTCATCCACCTTTGGTACATATAATCTACCTTGATACCTCAACACACCATCTCCCCCTTGTTCAAAAGTCATCACCTTTTGCTTATGAACATTCGCCTTTAGCTTAAGTAAAAGAGCGTATTTATCTTGTTTCTCCTTCACTTGGGACACTAGTGATGATTCAGCCCCATTCAACACCACAACCCCACCTTCACTGCAATCCAATAGAA